ACTGTCTTCTTCTTTGATAGGCATTTAGAAGTTGGAGTACTAAGGATAAGAATTTATGAATGAACAACTTCTTTATTACAATTAAGAGCGACGTCATTTACAGTCGCTATGAAAGATACATAATACAGTTTAAATGACATAAATAAAACCTGTTGAAAGTATTTTTTATAAACTTCAAAATACAACGAATTATGACGAATCCCGAGTGTTAATTAAAAGAATACGGTGTATTTGAAATTGGAATTTTTATTTATTATATTTTTTGACCAACCGATCTGAATTTGGGGTCCTAGAATCCCTAAACCAAACAAATATTAGTTTGGCCTCAATGTATCATCACGCAGTTGTGTGTGAAACGCGACATCTAATCATTCTTGCTACACATAAACAAACAGGGAAGACGTTTACTTTTGACAGAGAATGCCATAAATAGCAGGACCTCATATCGTCTATTTATGTGCAAGTTGTTTCCTTAAACACTACAGCACCTATATCTTGACCTGATCTAAACGCCCGAAGTTGGACTGTTTTAAAATTGTCATTATCCATGGTAACATTGTCCCGAATCTTCACAAACATGGCCTGGTCGTCAATTTTTAAAGGCGCTGTTTGCTACGAAGAGTTGCGTCCCTTAGGAGTGTCAGAATCCTGTGGTTGTGGGTTCGCCCTGATTAGAATCATTGCTTTCACCAAAGTGGTAAACGTCCAAGATTGGCATCACTTCGACTTTCCTCCATTAGATGACACACGGTGCAATACTTGAGGTTATGTTAAAAGCGGCGTTAACCAAACTCGCTCACATATTTAATATGCACACAACGTCAAATGTAAGCTGTGAGGGACGGCGTGACTGTATTACTATGCAACATTCAGCTATACTTACGATTGCCTGTAACTAATCAAGTCTTGGGCAGACAAACCGGTGGTTCAGAGCATGGCTAGCAATGTACAGATTTTCACTAGACTTAACAACTATACAGTCAAGTCTCGTGTGTCAAGACACTCGTTAATCCGACAATCGGCTTTATCCGACATTAATGATGGAAACCGATTAAATCAGTGCTATTTAGACCCGTTAATCCGACAGTCTCGCACTCCGACTCCGACACACCTAATTTGCAACGAATTACCGAAATCACTCATTGATCAGTCTCGTTAATCTGACACAGTGATCAGCGTACTCGGAGGTCATCTGCCCGCGAGTACACAGCCCCATGTTTTGATGCGAGACGAGTAGGCGAGCAGCTGCATTTTACAACGGCTGCAGTGAAAAACTTGCTAACAATAAAAAAAAAATGCTTTAAATAAAGACAACAGGATTATTCAGGATTAATCGCCCACGACACCCCATTACAGGTCACGTCAGAACAACCTTTCGCGAACTATGACCGACCAATGAAATGACTAACAGGAAGTCAACGTTAGCCACTTAGAAAGCAGCTTTCTTAAGCTTTGCAGTACCAGTTTCAAGCTTGCGACTTCCATTCCAGACAAAGCTTTTTAAAGTATTTTGAATAAGTCATACAGTCCGTAACAGTTGTTTTGTGTAGAGCTTTAGAGGTTGCATGATTAGAAAACATATTCCGTTAACAATGTAACATATAACAATGTGTATATTTCATTTCTATTTTTTTTATTACGTGTTTGTATCTTTATATATCATTTAGTTGTTCGATTTTCGATCACGAACGTTGATACTACTTAATTTCGTTTATCCGACATACTCGGATTAACGGAACTTATGCCTAACACACACAAATACACATGCACACACACACACGCACACACAAATACACACACATACACACACACGCATACACGCACTCACATACACAAACACGCACGCCCCCACACATACGCACGCACGCACACGCACACGCACACGCACATACACACACATACACGCACGCACGCACGCACACACACACACACACACACACACACACACACACACACACACACACACACACACACACACACCGCAGTCTCCCACTTCCCACTACCCTCTTGTTTCATATTATAAATATATTTATGTGATAAAACAGGTTCAAACATGTTATGGATACATAATATTCTAATGTTTGTCATGAAACGTAGGACTACTGTTGGAGACAGGATGGTTTTATTGCTACACCGTCACAGCTGCACGCCTGTCCATCATCCCCAAGTCACATCCTAACGGGTCATCTGTATCACGAACAACATGAACATCTTGTAGCATGTCTGGTCGTGTTGATGGCCGTGTCTCCTTACGGCTAATTTAATTTGTTTTGAAAGACAGTGCGGTTTCCATTTATATACTCACCGACAAAAGAAACGCAAAAACCATAAAAACATTATGTCGGTTAACATATAAAGAATAACTCATATTCAAGATGTATTGCATTGGTTGATGCACAAACGAACACACTGGTATGTTGTGTGAACCGATGCTCATGAACGCATCACATGTGACGTCATAGTTTTATGACTCGAAATGCACCATTTGTCTCGTGCAGGATTAGCGTGTAAAATTTGGAAATCACGTGCAGCATATCGTGATAAGAATAAAGACACTTTGAGGTAACACTTGACTGATTGTTAGTTTTGTCTTCAGCAACCCATGCTTGACGTAAAAGGTTACTATGCTTGTCGTAAGAGGCGACTAACGGGGTCCGGTGGTCAGGCTCGCTGACTTGGTTGATGCATGTCATCGATCCCAATTGCATGGATCGATGCTCATGATGTCAATCACAGGATTGTCTGTTCCAGACTCGATTATTTACAAACCGCCGTCATACAGCTGGAATATTGCTGAGTGTGGCGTTAAACAACAAACAAATAAACACATTATATGGTTAGCGCTTCTCTTGGTGGCGAGCATATTTCTTCATATATCAGTCATGCCATTGTGTTTTATCATCCGACATCGTCATTTCTCCTGTCACGAAGTTCGCTCAAAATTATAGTATGCTTCATCAATTGTACTCAGGGCATTAGGACCAACTACATTGAATGTAAGTTAGCACCTAACATATGGCCTACATGTTTGGTTACAGTGTCTGGTTTTCAAAGGACATTTAGGAACATCAAGAGACGCCTCAATTCATTTACTTGAATGGTCGACATGTTGGAATTCACTATGGCATATATACAATATGTGCTTATTCCGAGTTTATAATATACATTATATTATATTAAACGCTTAAACGGCAATCCAGTACTCTGCTATTCTTTCGGAACTGTCATCTGATTAATCCGATATTCAAATCGTAAAGATCCGGGGTAGAATAGGTCTTCTGAAACCCATGCTTGCCGTAAAAGGCGACTATGCTTGTCATAAGAGGCGACTAACGGGATCGGGTGGTCAGGCTCGCGGACTTGGTTGATGCATGTCATCGTATCCCTTGTGCGTGGATCGATGCTCATGATGTCAATCACTGGATTGTCTGGCCCATACTCGATTATTTACAGACCGCCGTCATTTAGCTGAAATATTGCTGAATGCGGTGTTAAAAAACAAACAAACAAATCATATCATTTTCATCGCTATTTTGTCTTTTATGCCCAATCTGTCGGCGGATAATCGAAACTGGTTATTCTCTGGCGTTGACCTTTTACATTAACACGCTAAAAACTGAATGCAAGCCAAATTGTTCATTTGTTTTTCGTATGTCCACGCACTTCATCGATGTCGTGTTCACGCACTGTTGTATGAACTGGTGACCCAGCACCTCCCATCAGTCTACCCAGTTCCCAACACTCTACAGTCCTGCTGACCGGTACACCTACAGTAAAGCTGCCACTTACAACACTGTTGACATGTACACATACTGTTAAGCACTATGCATCTATCAAAGCCAAGTCAGACAGTGTAAAGTTAAACACTTATTAATCTGCCCTCCAAAGGAACGGGGTTCATCTGTGTAATGACTCATCTCTGACACATTACGTTAGGGTAACACGTTTTACCTAAAGACCCAGATCTTGCAGGGAACAGAGTGGTAAAATATATGGAGGTATGAGGTAGAGACCGATTTTTTTAAAGGGTAGATTTCTTTCTGTTACTGTTTCCAAAATAAAAAATATCTGAAGAAAGAAGCTAAACAAGTCCAGCATCCAGTATGTGAAGTAGACGATAGTTAAGCCTAAATTAATGTTCGAATAAAACTCCATACCAATGTGAGTGAGTGAGTGAGTGAGTGAGTGAGTGAGTGAGTGAGTGAGTGGGTGGGTGGGTGGGTGGGTGAGTGAGTGAGTGAGTGAGTGAGTGAGTGAGTGAGTGCGTAAGTGAGTGAGTGAGTGAGTGAGTCTCATAATGAAACATTCAAGCTATCAGGTTAATGCGGCGGTCAGTAAATAATATGGACCAGAGAAACCTCAAGTTAATAGCACACGCTGGTTACCACCCTGTTGTCCATTTACAATACACTTTATGATGTGACAACATATTTATAAAACATATAAAAACGTTAGGGACAATTTTTTAACATGTAAAATTAAACATCGTGTGGAGAGTATGTACGAAAATAAAGCGACAAAACCCTTTTCATATTCATAAGAAGACTGTTAAAACAGATGCTCTGATGCACGAAGGTATCAAAGGTAAGTAGCATGTCACGATTGACTTCAAGAAAATTTATCAAAATTATTTACTACATCCAGTCTGACACATGCTAGTCCAGTCTGAAACGACGTGTCACCCCACAAGCCTTGCCCCCACGGGGGTGTACGCCAAAAACCGGATGTCATTTATGACCCAGAAAAGTCACAGCTTATGTCCTGACACGTACCTACTAATTCACAATAAACCATGTTGACCAATGTCTTGTGGCCAGCGTACCACACAGACCTACCGCCCTGTACAGGAGACAGGCATGTCTCCGTGTCCATCGATTAATCTTCTCCCTGAAACACGAATTTATGCCCCCTTGACATCAGCGCCTTTGCCATGAAGGCGAGTTTATAAAGCAGGATGTCAAACCTGGTGAGCTATCAGTTCTGACAGGTGTCCATCAACCTGTTATATATAAGTTGTCTGGACGACCCCCCTTCAGACTGGAATCTCACATCAGCATCATGGGGTCCTCACGCGCTACCATCCTAATCCTAGCAGTCCTCTCTTGTGTTTGTAAGTTGATCTACTTCTATTCATTGTCCAACTCGGCTTATTGTAGTGGAAGCTGTTTTCTGTTATGTCTTGTGTTAACGTCGTGTTACTTCTCAATGAGATTGCGGCAATTTGATATTTGTTTAATCCATTGAAAAACAAAATTTATTTTTTAAGCTCATGTTTTATTTTAGTAATGGTTTCTTTAGAAATAGAAAATCATTTTCATTGTGATATCCAAATATTTAAAGCCCTACATTTAAATGTGTATTTGCGTGAGGTTTCTTATTATTTCTTAAATTCATAAATATTTTTTAATTTATATCATAGGCTCATAAGTGGTGTGTTTTGTTTAATATCGCTATGGCAGCAAATTCTGAGACTCAAAGCCGTTTTTGTGCGTGTGTTCAACTGTGGTCCTTGAGTCCTTAGGTAATTATTTACGGCTCCCATAGTAACGTGTTCCACTTCGTACAGTTACCCATAGTAACGTGTTTCACTTCGTACAGTTACCCATAGTAACGTGTTTCACTTCGTACAGTTACCCATAGTAACGTGTTTCACTTCGTACAGTTTCCCATAGTAACGTGTTTCACTTCGTACAGTTACCCATAGTAACGTGTTTCACATCGTACAGTTACCCATAGTAACGTGTTTCACTTCGTACAGTTACCCATAGTAACGTGTTCCACTTCGTACAGTTACCCATAGTAACGGGTTTCACTTCGTACAGATACCTATAGTAACATGTTTCACCTCGTACAGATACCCAGAGTAACGGGTTTCATTTCGTTCAGTTACCTAAAGTAACGTGTTTCACTTCGTACAGTTACCCATAGTAACGGGTTTCACTTCGTACAGTTACCCTATAGTAACGTGTTTCACCTCGCACAGATACCCAGAGTAACGGGTTTCATTTCGTTCAGTTACCCATAGTAACGTTTTTCATTTCGTACAGTTACTAAGTTGAATATTACGTTTACCTATTTGTGATTTTTCTTAACTAAACATTCCGAACTGGCTCAACGACCATGTACTTGTTTGATACTCCTATCTTGTCACTGGGTAAATATAACAGAAAGAGGCTCCACAGTTACTCGATACTTGAATCTGATTGGTCAGTGAGAATCACAATTCCCACAATCAAAGTATATATGGTTATACATTTTAGACAGAAAAAAAACAAAATAAATCGTCTTTCAGTTTTAGCAACATTATAGAGCTAATGATTATGACGAAATTCGTGATAACAATAATGATAAAAATAAGAAACAACATTACATACAAAAATATGGCAGTTATAATGTTTCCAATGAATGTAATTTAAACTTTGTGGATAACAGTTAAATCTGTCAGTAACTAATCACCATAATGACACCACAGGGTAATGTATTCATTTCACACTGAGTGTTATGTAGTTAAACGTCATGGATTATACCTCCTGATCGGTCTTCCCTACGGCCATAAAGACACATGCGCTATCTGCCCGTCACTGTCAGATGACTGCAGTTTTCAGCACCTCATGCAGGATATCAATGTCACGCTAACACCCGTGCCGCTGTAAGAGCTTTAAACGTCACTGTCTATTCGAACGACACGCGACTTCCTTTATACCCAATATGACAGATTGTCTTTTCTTAAGCTGATGCAATTATGTGGATTAAGTTTTTGTCTTACTGTACCCAAAATAAATTAAGGATCACTCGACGGTTTCATATAACTGTAGTTAATCTGCCGTGGCTTAAAATTAACGACCTTTGGGTTTTTTTCATAGTACTAAAGTTAATCTTTCTTGGCATAAAATTAAGGACCACCCAATTCTTTTATATCACAATAGTTTAGGGTGGCCCATAATGGACATGGAGTCTGTTTTTCAATATTTTGATATTTCACTTACTGTTATCGTCACCTCTGGCAAATTAACACGATTTGTCATACAAATATGTGATAAATCATGTATAAAGAAGATACTGAATCGCTGAAAAGTGAAGCGAAAATGTAAAAAACTAAAATGAAAATGTAAAAAAAACACCGAAATGGTCAAAAACTAAAATTAAAATACAGAAACTATTTTCGTTTTTGTTTTTGACATTTCTATTTTAGTTTTTGACATTTTCGCTTTTGTTTTTGACATTTCCATTTTACTTTTTGACAATTTCGCTTTACATTTCAGCGATTCAATAGCTACTTGAAAGTACATTTTCCATGTTTTTGCTTGTTTTGATACATGATTTATCACATATTTGTATGACAAATTGTGTTAATTTGCAAAAGGTTACGATAAAAGTAAGTGTAATATCGAAATATTGAAAATGTTACTGAAAATATTGACTCCATGTCCCTTATGGGCCACCGTAACAGTTAATCTGTCATGGCATAAAGTTAAGTGAGTGAGTTACGGGTGAATTGGGTTGTGTCAATGATTGTCAAATTGCCGTTTCTGTCTCAAATTGGTTGATTGAAAAACGGAAATCGTCTGGACTTTTCTTTATATTTTTTCCCAGTAACATAACGTGGCAGTTCGTACACGGACGTTGTTTATTCATGTTGATCAATACTTTAACATTTAAAAACATGCGACTAACATCGTCAAGTCTAAAAGTAATTTCTATGCAAACACCCGCAAATCTAAAAAAGGTTTATGTTCCAACGTAAGACCTGAATTAAGTGATTTATGAATCATGGAGAATTCACCTTTACCAAAGTATGCTGCTGTATAGATTGTGATACAGTAAACTACGGTTATAACTAACTCAAAGGGACCAATAATTTTAATTCGTTATAAGCGTAGTTCGTTATAAGCATATGTACAACATCTATACAGAAATGGACGGCACCAAGAAACAGTTCGTTATATCCGACTGTTCGTTATAAGCGTGTTCGTTATAAACGTAGTTTACTGTAGTAGTCATTCTACAATATATACTGCTCACATCAACTTCGAGAACACCAGCAAAAGGAAGAGTATTTTCTAGCCAGTTTCACTATAGTCATGAAACCAACGGGTGTTTCTTAACTTCTTTTAGGTCATGTACATTCCAGGCTGAAAATATGAAGAAGCTTTGCGATCGCAAATCAAAATAAAGCGAACCCAACAGGTCTTAATATTTAGGCTAAGTTCCCTATCACGACAGCAGACCATCCCACAGATATGGGTGCTGTATATTTGTAACGCGCTATCGGATTCGCTTGTATATTGTAATGCTAATAGGCTCGTTGATTTCTTAATGGTGCATTCTGTTAAATATGGAGTTCTACTCTTACTTTGTGTCTGCCTACTGTTTAAACATTAAGGAACAAATGCTATGTTACATAAATATTACGATAATGCGTTTGTTGTAATCAGAGGCAGGTTATTGTGATTTGAAACCTCTGATTGAATAACTACATTTGACCATTTTTAAAACAATAGTCTTTGTTGTAAAAAAGGGCAACAAATTATAATAACTTGATCAAATCCACTTTAGTGTAAATTAGATTATTTGCAGAACGCGCACAAAGCTGGACTCGTGCTTAGTCCGACGTAAGCAACAAACAAACGAGTCTCGTGCTCATTCCAGACGAGGTGATTGATAATACTCGCGTTAAAGAGATGTAGGTAGACCACGACAACGTCTTTTGAAATGTGAGCACGTCGCTTTTATCCATCTGCTCCTGAAATAAAACGGGCTTTCTGGTCGCATGAATAGCAGAAGTTGGACGAGAGGAATTTGTCAATGTCCCAGGCCGCCCGGTGTACATCCAACAAACCGGCGTTTCCAGGCTGCTCCGCCAGACCTGTGTAGTAGGCTCAAACGACTCCCCCTAAATTTGACTCTAGAGTCATAGGGGCCTAGGCTCACAACTAGGCGACTAACGGGATCGGGTGGTCAGGCTCGCTGACTTGGTTTATACATGTCATCGGTCCCAATTGCGTGGATCAATGCACATGATATTAATCACTGGATTTTCTGGTCCAGATTCGATTATTTACAGACCGCCGTCATATAGCTGGAATATTGCTGAGTGTGGCGTTAAACAACAAACCAACCAACCAACCAAAATTTAAGAACTGCATCTATTTCCTTTGTTAAGCTTTCTGGTTCATCGATCACTTGACTGTCTGGTTTGTCGAAGGCTGACGTCGCACGGCAGGAGTACTTCCGTGCGGCGTCAAGCAAAAAATGCTGCCTTTTTTATGCAAATTGTATGCATGGCGGGTGCTTTCGGTAGGGCAGCACATGCTTACCCTTGTCGCGAACACCTGGTGTCATCACTGAATTTCGGTGGTGCTTTCATATAATTTCCACAGGTGTTTTACCCTTTACGTCAAGTGGTTAAAGCGTTCTTTCGTCACGTCAAAGCTCCGGGTTCGATTCCCGACATGGGTACAATGTGTGAAGCCCATTTCTGGTGTCCCCCGCCGTGATATTGCTGGAATATTGCTAAAAGCGGCGTAAAACCAAACTCACTCACTCACTCACAGTTTCGGCAGACACTCTAGGATTCTTATTCTCTTGCATTGACAATTTATATTTACAAGCGGTGATACATATGAAATAGTGTTCAAAGCGGCGTAAAACAATACCCACTATTCACCTGAATTATTTAAAATTATGTAAAATTTAAAATGTAAACCATCTCACAAAGTGTCTTGTTCACCCTCATCCTACTTATCAAATAAGCCGCATCTCACACCACAAACCCATCTCACACGCGACTTGATTCATCCCAAAGTTTACCTCCCACATGAGGGGGAGGTCGGGTAGCCTAGTGGTTAAAAGCGTTCGCTCGTCACGCCGAAGACCCGGGTTGGATTCCCGACATGGGTACAATGTGTGAAGCCCATTTCTGGTGTCCCCCGCCGTGATATTGCTGGAATATTGCTAAAAGCGGCGTAAAACCATACTCACTCACTACCTCCCACATGAAGTGTCCTGACGTTTGGCACCAGTTCCGTTTCATGGCTCCTATGACTATGTTTTTTTTGACATTGTGACACAAGAAAATCTGCTGGTGCCCGTCTGTCCATCGTGACGGTT